GCGTCATTCTACGCCAACACCGGAGGGCCATATAGTCGAGCAATCATCATGCCGGAGTCCACCGCGCGTGATGAAAGCTCAGCAGGTCAGAGTCCGCATGCCGTCCAACGAAATATCCACGCGCATAAAGGAAATTAGCCTTAATTGTCGCTGTATTTTTGTAGTAATTACTGCATCCTATGCATACTGCAACCCCCTGTGCATGTATTACCCGTTTCTGCTAATGCCTCTGATGATGAATCCACAACGAATTTCGAAACCTCAGGCGAATAAAAGTATTTTCCCAGCAGTCGAGTCGTCTACTTTTCACTTATTTCCTGGGACTCGCATATTCGCTTGTATTGGCAATGCTGTTTGATATTTAACATGAGTTCGCTTCTGAAATCTCCAGATGATTTTTACGGATCTACATTTGTCGTGTGATCGAGGCATCCTCCCACTTGATTGACAAAAAACTAGCATTTTCCCCATTCATAATGTTTGATCGAGAAATGAAAGGGTCCCTTGGGCCTTAAATATGCAATTTATTTATTTAACAATGGCCAACGACTATCAACCGGAGGACCAAACATGCATTTTTTGCAAAGTCATGGAAAAGATTATCAAAATAGTGTTATGAAATTTCTCGAAGAACAAGACTTCCCTGATAGAGCCTGAAACGGATTTCAAGGAAAAACTGCTGTCTGACCAATATGCTTTATTCAATGAAGCAGTGGTTCATGTCGTAAGATGAGAATGCCAACGTCCACGTCGTCTATCTCGGCTTCCAAAAAGCCGTCGATGGTGTCCCATATCATCGGCAACTCTAGAAGCTGCGAGAATCCGGGATAAAGGGAACTTTAGTAAATTGAATTGGACATTTCTTAATGAGCCCATTTCAATCCATGTGCATGGCCAATGCCAATCCGCTTCAGTGCCGGTCGTCAGTTCTGTACCTCAGGGCTCGGTTCTTTAGCCATTTCTGCTATTAATATACGCCAGTGATTGGACAGCAACGGTATCCTGTTTGCAGATGATATAAAGATATGGTAACCAACCCGACAGAATAATGATAAACGCATTTTAATAGAAGGTCGTGACCGTCTATGTTAAGGGTCCAATGAAAGGTTGATGAAGTTAAGCTTTCGGAAATGTGTCGAACTGCGGCTCAAAACGAAGAAGGCGAGCGTGATAGGCGACTCTCGCCCATACTATCTTGATGGAAGATATCCGTAGAATCCAGACAAACAAAAGAGCCTAGGAATCACAATTATGTCATCTCGGAAGCTCTTATCTCAAGGTGTCAGGGTGTCCAACAAGTGTTACCAGTCTTCCTTTTGCCGTTAAACGGAATTGTGTAGATATCGATCTGCAATTATTTGGGAAAACACACGTGATATTTGT